GAGGGCGGGGAGGGGGGTGAGGGCTGGGTGGAGGTGGGCAAAGTGGGGGGGAAATGGGGGACATTTGTAATAGTGTCAACAATTTAAAATCAAGCAATGAGCTGAGAGATGGAGAATGAAATTAATACTAGTCAGGATAGGGGAGGGGCGACTGCATCCAACAGCAGACACTGTGCAGTAGAGCATTTTATGGACCCACCGGTGCATGGCCTGTGGTAACAGGCACAGAGGGGCTGAGACACTGCCCTTTCTCTTCTATATCTAGACATTATCTCCCTGTTGAGCTAGCTTTTCATGGTACTTAAACAGAAAATATGCTTCTCAATTGTAACTTGTCATGGCCTGATAACTGCCTTTCACCCACAGATCGACTCTTTTCATAAACCTTCTACTTACCAAATAAGAAATCAAGGAAGTGCCCAAGTGCTTCCCCTCTCTCACCGCCCAACACTAAGTAATGAAGCTTAACCTACCCCGCAGGGTCTCCTCTCCCGACCCTGCCTCTGCCTGAGCTCAGGCCCTCTTCATTTGTTACACAGATGTCTGCAGTGGCCTTGTTGTGCATTGGGTTAATATGATTTCACATCCACTTGCTTATGACTTAAATGAAGTTCTTTTAATCCACTTGTTTATGATAAAAACAAGTTGTTTGATACAAGAATAGAGGAAGTCCTACCAGAATGTCATCATTCTACATCTGTTGTTGTTGATAAGCAGCCAGCTGCGAAGGGGCCTCTTCTTATCAATAAGAACCTGTGGAGAGCAACTATGGCCAAGGGGACATTTAGACTACAAACACAGAGAGCTTGCAAGGACTATCTGAGGTGGGGCATTTCACTCCTATCTTGGTAAGGCACTCCTCCTCACTAGTGGTGACAAGGCAGGGACCCCAAGAAAGAGTTCAGCTCACCTATCAACACTTGTATCTTCATTCCCTAGCAAAATGCTCTAGCAACAGGAGACTTTTACTTTTGCCCTGGCAGCTGGAAATCTGGAAATGAGTCAGCTGTTCACTGACTTTCCTAAGTGCCTTCCTGGACTTTATTCCTTCATCTCCCCTTGCCTGGAACAACAGTATCATTAATCTGTCATTTGTTTGGAGTATTTCTTTATTTTGCTTATTAAGAGATATTATCCTGTAGGCTATTGGCCAGTGAAATTATAATAATTCCCATAGCAAACCTGTGCTAAACAAATTGCTGGAAAAAGTAACTCAGTTTCTGGGCATGACACTTAATGTTGCCTCCCGACAACGAAAACTAAACATGCTTTTCTAACTGGTCCTCCAGCCTCCAGCAATTCACTACCCACACGCCCACCATGGGGATCTCTCAAAACTGCAAATCTATCAAGTATTCACCTGAATAGAATTCTTACACGTCTTCCAATTGCCTCAGGATAAAACCCAGCGCCTTAGCAGAAAGAGGCTTCCTGTCTCATTCCCCCTGTTCACACCCAACGTGACAGCCATTCCAAGCGAGTGGCCATTCTGGGAGCTTGCTGGGCTCATGTCTGTTTCTGGGCCGTGCACCTGCTCTTCCCTCTGTCCACCCCGCCCATTCGCTTGGCTCTCTTCCACCCTTGGCCTCCTGGAGAGCTCCGTCCAGCATTCCCTCCCTTCAGAGAAAATGCTCTTCCCCATGCCCTTAACACCTGTGCATACTCAAGCATAATACTATCATCCTTGTGAGGTTGTGCGGCTCAAAAATAGGCTGTGGGTTTCTTGATTCCCGGACCATGGTTTTTGTTTGAGTGTGCCAGGATCATAACACTGCCTGGCATCGAGGAGGCAATTAATGAATATTTGTTAACTGATTAAATGACAAAATCATCCCCAAGTTGCCTTCGGCAGAGAGGAGGGTGCAGGTAGAGGAAGTGCCATGTGGACTTAAGGGAAAGCGTGGGAGTGCTGAGAATGTCAAATGGGAAAGTCCTGGAGGTGGAGGCTCACCCAACCCTTCCAAATGGGCCAGGAGGTAGGCCTAGGGGTGCAAGCAACATAAAATGGGGGGTCCTGTGCTAGACTCGGGCTCTGATGTTAATCAGCTTACATCTGAGCATGGCCCACATGTCAGCCTGTCTGTGTCTCGGGGGCACAGCCTGAGCTGCCCACAGCACCCGGAGGCTCTCGGCGGGCAGGGAGGTCAGGAAACAACGTGCCCGTGGGCCCCAGGCTTCTCAACAGGCCGTGCTGCCCAGGAAGGGTCCTTGCTTTGTTGTTCACGGGTGGCACCTGGCAACGTGGCAGCTGACTCACTCTCACTACAGGGCTATTTAATTCATGACCCTCCTCCGCTGAGGGAAGGGAGAGAGGGACAGGAGAGCCAGAGGCATTCCTGGAGCCCCACCTGTCAGGGAGAGGCCTCAAGGGCGGGCTCAGGTGGAACCACGCCCTGCCCCTCCTGGGGTTCACCGGGAAGCCTCAGTTCCACGGGCTCCTTCCGAAGGTCAGTGACACCGATGACTCCCCCGGAGCCCACCGTGCGCCCCAGCCACAGGCTCTAGATCCGAATCTTTCAGGGGTGACCCGGGAAGGAGCCGGCGTGAGAACGGCAGCCGAGTGTGCTGCTCGGGGAGTACAAGTTCACTTCCCTCGGGTCTCATGCTCCTTCTCCCGCGTGGGCGAATGCTTCACAGCCATTTTAAATGTCAAGTGGGTTGGTATTATAAAGTGCTCAAAGCAAAACCCGGCACATGCTGAGCGCGACATCAGTGTCTCTTTACAGTGTCCCGGCCGGGCGATAATGGCAAGGACACTGGGGAAAGGGGGCAGAGGAAACGGGGGAGCAGGAGGCCCGGCCTGCTCAGGGCCGCGGGCCTGTCATGGGTCCGCCGTGGCCCCCGCGGTGCACGGCCCGGGAAGGCTCCCAGTCTGGTCACCGCTGTTCCTCAGAAGGATGGTGGGACACACGCTGTATCAGCCAGCCGGTTAAGCACGCTGATTTCCATAAATCGTGCCAGAAGTACAATGGCATCATATTTTGAAGTCCTTTCTCCATAAGAAAAGCCCGATGTCAATTCTGAGTAACTTTTAGTCAAAGATGATGAGCAATTTTTCACAAGCCATGAGCATTTCTTCTCCTGTGACATTCTCGTGAACGTTCTCTGTCACCTTGGTTTGGGTCGTTTGGACTTTTACTTGAAAGTGCTCTTTGCATATTAAAGAGCCTAGCCCTTTGCAATGTAGTTTCCACATTTCTTTTAGCTTATCATTTGTATTTAATCTTGTTTGTGGCATTTTTGCCACACAGAAGTTTTTATAAGTTAGACTTCTTTTTTAATCATTTTCCTCTCTGACTTCTGAGTTTTATATCATGATTAAACAGTTCATTGCAATTCCAAGATTATTTTAAAAATTCACCTCCTTTCCCTAACTTTTATGGATTTGTTATTTTACCTTTAAATCCTTGTTCATTTTGAAGCTATATTTCCCTATGACTGGCTAATTACCCCTAAATGGTTTATTAAATTGTGTTACAATTGCTTACAGTATTCAGTACAGTAACAGGCTATACAGGTTTGCAGCCTAGGGGCAATAAGCGTATCATATAGCCTAGGTGTGCATAGGCTATACCATCTAGGT